AACTGCACTGAGGAACTGGGTTGGTCTGGATACAAAGGATCAGGAAGCCAAAAGGCCAGCCCGGGCTTCCAGGAAAGAGGCTGGCTGGTTGTCCAGCCCAGGGAAGCATAGGCAGGTGAGGGCAGGACCAGGCCCAGAAGGCTCCTGGGGACTTTGAGAAGGAACTGGGTTGGTCTGGATGCAAAGGATCAGGAAGCAGTGGTGGTTCCCCCATGTCTGGGGCTCCAAGACAAGGAATGGGACAGGACCCAGGTTAGGAGTGTGTTGTTTAATCACCATGTGTTCATGTCGTGAGTAGGGCTTCTGGTGTTGATTTTAAGCTTTATTGCATTGTGGTCTGATAGAATGCATGGAATTATTTCAGTGTTTTTGTATTTGATGAGGTTTGTTTTGTGCCCCAGTATATGGTCGATTTTGGAGAAGGGTCCATGTGTCCTTGGAAATTTGGAACTTGCTGTATATGGCCATCTTTCTCATTTCCTCCTTGTGGTAATCCTTTAGGGACAGGGCATTCTCACAGGGTGGAAACAGCTTCCACACTGCTCTGCATGAGTCTCATGTCTGGTGGCTAGCACAGGTAGCACCCAGAGTGAGACCCATCCATCCCCAAAGAGAGTATATCCCTGTTACACCTGTCTGGCCTACCCTGCTGGGGCCAGATGTGTCGTCTGGGTTCTGGAAGATGGTGGTGGTAAATAACTGAGGAGGTGTAAGCCCAGTGAGTACAGCCTCAGGTCTGAGAGGGTGGATGGGAGGAATGCAGCAAGGATGACCTATCACTGTAGCTGCTAGGCCAGAATAGTTGAGGCAGGGAGTATTCATCACCCTGGGCCTCTTTGATCCAGAGGATGGTGATGGGGTGGGGTACTCTGTCTAGTTCTTTCCAGATTGTGTCCATGAAGCTCTGCATCTTGGCCCAGTCCACCACCTGCATTTAGCTCCACACCATGTATTATGCAGTCTGGGTAGATGTGCCTTGCCTATAGCCTGCCTCCACAGGCTGTGATGTCTCCACTGAAGAGTGAAGTGTTAAGATGGAATATGCTGGAAGGTCAAACCAAAGAAAACAGAGCAGATAAAACATTTAGTCTGCTTTCTCAATGCCGGACAGGAGATACTTTCCTTTGAATTGTTGGCCAGTAACCTAGCACAGAACTGGGAAAATGAACAGCAGACCCCAATCTTATCTAAAGGAATGTTGGCAACTGATTGCTGCTAGGTGAGGAACAGCTGATCTTCCTAAAACAAGGGACTCTAGATAGGCTGACTATACTCAGGGGATGGACTTGCACTGGGGAACGGCTGGGGGCACTGACAACACAGTGGACAGTAACAGGGATGACAGAGTGTATGGGCTCCAGTAGGGAGGGGAGGAGGGTTATGGGAGGGTGCCATTTGGGATGTAGGTATAAAGATGAATAAGATTGTTTGGGATGTTCTGTATGAAATACACACACAAACACTTTAGTCTGCTTTCTAATAACATCTAGCTGTAAATTCATACCACACTAACACCTTTTTTCTATTACCAATGCTTTCTTCCTCTACCCTGTCCCTTAGTTCATTCAAACTGTTGTGGAAATTTTTTAAACAAGATAGAGTCACTCCTGATAGAGCCCATTAAAATTGAGTTGGGTCACAAGAAAGAATGGGAAATACTCATGTTATCGAATGCGTTTTTCAGGAACTATCTAACAAATCAGTTCAGTGATAGTGCCTGTCGTATCCTGAACACAATTTTCACTTAGCAATGGATGGTGGAACTGACAATATGACCTTAAGACTAGGTTTACGTAGTAACTACTCTCAATATGAACTCCTAGCTCCTGAAAGTACCAAAAATGCCAAAGAAATTTCTTTCAAAATAACATATAGATTTCTCTGTCCTAATAAACCCAAACCTTTCCTTTGTTCTCCAGACACACTACCACCTACGCTGACCTGCGTAGGCTGTGACTTGGATTGCAATCCTATTCTTTGCTCATGCACAAATAAAACTTCCCTTACTGGAGGTTTGCCTCCATATTTTTATTTGACTTTGACACAGCTTTGTGGAGAGGTCTACAGGGAGAATAACCAAGACCTCCTTTCAATACCCATCAAAGAATTAAAGCCCCCACCCATAGCACATGTGTGAGCCATTATGGGAGTGTGTCTTTCAGTCTCATTTGCTTGCTATGTTCAGAACTAGAACTGCCTTGCTAAGCCATTCACAAATTCTTTTGTGTGTGCGTGGTTAGATGTGCGCAGATATGCATGCATGTGGACACCAGGCATCAACCTCAGGTGTGCTTCCTCAGGAGTCATCCATCTGTGTGTGCGTGTGTGCGCGTGTGTGTGTGTGTGTGTGTGTGTGTGTGTGTGCGTGTGTGTGCGTGGGTGCGTGTGTGTGTGCGTGTGTGTGTGTGTGTGTGTGCGTGTGTGAGTGTGTGTGAGTGTGTGTGTGATTGTGAGTGTGTGTGTGAGTGTGGGTGTGTGTGGGTGTGTGTGAGTGTG